GTGTCAGTGTTTTACCTGGAGACTCCCAAACCCAGAATGCATCACCCTGCATCCCTGATATACGCCTCCTACGGGTTTTATTTCTTTAATTACTGCTTTGTCTTTTTGTGATTTACAGTTAACTTTTGAAATAACTCTCTTCTTTGAAAATTTATATCTTTGTTGAAATCAAACAAGTTATACTGGATAATCTCAGAAAGTCTGGAAAGGTAGTCAATAGCAAACTGTTTGCTTAAATAAACCTTCAGTATGATGACTGTTGGGGAAAGGGCTGGTGTCCTGGCTGGTGTCCTGCTGGCCGGGGAGTCCCCTGTGGCTGCTCAAGCCCAGAGAGCAGCCAGCCCTAACTACACACTTGCCCTGTTGCTTAGTAGTTAATGAGGAATAATAATCGGGGAACTGTAACACCACTGAACAAAGTAGGTGGGAGGATGTGGCTTCAGAAGGCAGTAATGCCTTTCCCAGCTAGGGAAGAAGGAACTCCTTTGCCTGCAGTGGAAACAACTATGTACTAATAAGAGCGGTCTCAGTAAGGTTCTTGCTCATCTTTCTTTTCCAACCCAAAAATTGTCTGCCTTGAATAAATTCCTTTCTATCCTTTAGGTATCTTATAATTTCCCAGGTGTTCTTCCATAAAGAAGCTCAAAGCCATGCTTTTGCCAGTAGTTCCTCATGTCTGATAAAGGATTATCTACCAAGATGCACTGAAGCTTAGTCAGAGCTGAGCCAAGTCAGTTCCTGTGCTATGGCATTCATGTAATTCAGTTTCTCCTAGGGGAAGCCACAGGACAGAAATAAAGTAGAATGTGGTAAAGTTTGTAGATTTCTTAAGTAATTCCATTTGCAAATAAGGTAATCACTAAGATTACAATCAAGTATGCTCAAGTGCTAATTTCTGTAACTGAATTTGTCTAAAGTGCTTTTATATTCTGTGGTCCAAAATTAACAACAGAAAAATCTGAACAGTCACAAAGTAAAGAGAGATTTATAGTAGTGTCACAAGAAGAAAGCTGCATCATAAACAGGCTCCTTCTGGGTGGAATTGTAATAGGCATCAATAGTCTCAGGAGTTCTGTCTGCTGTCATTCGGATTAGTTTGATTAGGTATGAAAATGTGGCGGATTTGCTCTATTTGATTTAGAAGCAACTCTTTTGAAATTAAAATGTCTGTGACTTGTACTGATGTGCGTTAATGCGTCTATTGATCTATACCTACATTCAAGAATATTATGTCCCATTTTACTGTCACATTTCTTCTGTAACTTTCAGTGTCTTTCACACACATGATTAATCTGTGGAGGAATTAAGCACTTACAGGAGATCAAGAACTTTATGGCCAGACATGACATTAGTTTTTTTATGATATGCTAATATGTATCCATTTATTTGTGTACCTTATTGATTTATTATTAAGTATTGACAGCTATCTAAAATTATTGAATTATTTCATATTCAACTCAATGCAATTCAAATAGATTTAGTGAGACAACATACTTGCAGTAGAAAGTCTTATCCTTGTTACTGTCCACCTTGCTGTGCTGTTCATATTATAGTTTATTAATGAAAGGCAATTATCTGAACCACTTACATTTTGTTTTGAACCAGTATTTAAGTGAATATCTAACACATTGCAAATTAGAAAATTTGGGTTCTTTTTTGTTTCTTTTTTAATGCCAGTGTAGTGGTTTGAACCACATTTCCCCCTGAAGCTATGAAAGTAGTAACCCCCAGGGGGTGGTGACACTTGAGATTTGAACCAATCTGCGCTCCTGCAAAATATAAACATACCACAAGTAGACCAGAAAAGAAAGTTGTAGTAGTTGTTGGAGAAGAAGTGGCCATGTTGTAAAGCCACGAGGAAGGGGCAGGAGCCCCACTGGGGGCTAGGACCCCCCAGCCCCTTGGCTGGGGCTGCAGGGACTTGGAACAATGTTAAACTGGGCTAAGTACCTGTAGTTGGAAAGCTGAAGGAGTTTTCTCCACCGTGAGTGGGCAGCGGCAGGAGAAGCAGCAGAACATCACTGTCCGGAGAAAAAAAGCGGCGGCACAGAGCCGAGAGATAAGAGAAGCACCAAAACAAACATGCTGCAAAGCAGACAGAAAAACTTCTGCGAACCGAGAGAGAGAGAGAGAAAAGCAGCAGAGAGAACTAAAGTACTACAGAGTTTATTGGGGTAAGAACTGCAAAACTCCCCCAAACTTTCTTTGAGATCCCTCCAAAAATGGAGGGGGTGGACTCCTATTAATTGGAAGTCCTAAATGCAGTGGTCCTGAGAGCTCAGCCAGGACGAAATGTGTGAGAGAGGACCTTGGGCCCTCCCTTGCTGCAGCTTCAGAGAAGCTAGCAGCCATCTTGAGGCAGAGCACAGAAGCTCTGCGAGGGGCTTGAATCCCCTGAAGATACCAGACCGTCACGAAGGCTTCTGCACTTCGTCGACATGACCGTGGTGGAGCAACCTTTGTCTGGGGTAACGCAGCCCACGGAAAGACCCTTTGTTTGCGTCGGGGGGGCTAAGAGAGGCTTGGAGGCCTCCCTCGTGTGTATTGGCAACAATCCAACTGCAACTGCTGCTTCATGAAAGACACAGAGAGCCTACTGCCCTAGTGGACTGCTGCTCAGAGACTGGAAGGGGTCTTTTTTCTTCTTCCCTCCTGGACTTTTATTTGGAGGGAAAAGAGATTTGGTCCATTGTAAATACTGTATGTCATGGTAGAGATAGAGTTAAGATTGTATGTAATGTATTATACTATTTATTTTGTACAGTGTATTGTAATATATTCCCTTCCCCCCATTTTGAGTCTCGTGTGGTGTCTGGAAACCCGTCTCACGCTGGGTTGAGATGTGGGAGGGGGGCTAGAACTAGGGAATTGGATTTTGGGACTCTGAAACCATGACAGCCAGAACTGTACACTGGTATGATGTAGATGACAGTGTCTCTTCTCTTAGATTTTTTTCTTACTATCTGCTGAAGAAACTGGTTGGGTGCAGTTTAACGGGGGTTATATCAAACACAGCTGATCAAACTTTGAATAATTCTTTGATTGTGAAAAATCTGGCAGAACTGTGATAATGTAATGCATGGGTTAAAGTGGTAAAATGAATGGCTGAAGGTTTTCCTAAAAACTACAGATAGTGATTAATGTACTGATACACTGATAACAAATCCTTCAACAGATCATTTGATTCCAGTTTATGGTGCCATTTTCATTGATTAGTCCTCTGAAGGATCATCATCGGATTTTTTTTCTTCATAAACAAGCTTTTGAAATGCCACATTATCAATATATTCAAAAAATTGTTCACAGAACTACTGAATCCTTGAAAGTTAAACAGTAAAAAAATGCATCAAATTTTAATTCTATAATTTTTTGCCTTTTAATGTACTTATTTCAATGCTAAAAGACATTATGTTAATACTTCTAATTAGTAATTTTTGTGATTTGGGGGTTTTTTGCAGCTTTCTTTGCAAATTGTTTTCTTCAGTTTGAGTTTCATTGTTAAAGGAAAATGTGCAGTTTGATGGCACTTCCTATCTGTTTTTAGGATAACAGCTTCTGAATGAGACGTCCAGTCAGCAAAAAATATCTATTACAAGGAGGAGATGAAGAAAATATATTTCTTATGATCAGTGAGGCAGTAGTTTTAATCGATAATCTTGTTTATAGGAGAAAAATAAATTAGTAGGTATTGAGAAATTCCTCTCAAGTCTCCCAGATTCCTGCCCAAAGATAAGGAATGGTACAGCTTGGATCCCATTATACAGCATGGTGAAGTGGTACAGGAATTCATGTGATGGGGCTAAGAGGTTTTCTGTCCTGGAAGTTTGGGTGAATAGAGGCATTTAGGGAGTTGCTAGAGTGTACACTGTGCACAGCTTACAAGAGCAATGGTCTGTGTGATTTTGTGACATTGTGCTTAAGAAAAAAAGAATTGAAATTGCAATAGCGATGATCCCCACCCATCTCTTAATTTGCTGAATTCATGTTCATCCAAAAATGTGGAGTATTGTAATTCCCTACAAGGTGCATTGTGCAGCATAATTCTTCTATGCTCCTTTCATTGTTTTAGTTACCCAGAAAATCTCTGAGTTACTTGCTGAATGTTTTATTTGATGAAAAAAGAGTGAGACATAAATTAATACAAGCCTCCACCTTCCTGAGGAGTTGACAGCAGACTTCACTGGTTGTGTAGACCAAAGGAAGTAATGCTGATTCACAGTGCTGCCCTTGGAGAGTGTTTGTTAAAAGATACCCCCCCTCCTCGAAGGGAAGTAGAATTTTCACAGTTAAAAAAACAGAAAACAAACAAAACACCTTCCTTTAAGATGATCTCAAGCTTTATGTTACAGAATCACAGAATCAACTCAAGGCGGGAGGAGACCTTCAAAATCATCTTAGGTCCAACCATCAACCCAGCACCACCATTATCACTAAACCATATCCCCAAGAGCCACATCGAGACAATACTTTTAACTGGCATTTGTTGTCTTTTCAAGTAGTTGCCTGTAATGTTTCAAACTACCAGAGAAGATACAAGAGATGCAAATATGTGTCTTGTTTTTAAGTGGAAAAATTACTTCATTTTCAAATACACCGAGGAGGGAAATGTGGGAGTTATTTTGATTTAACATTAAGTGGTTTTGTATACCAAAATGAAGTTTTCTTATCTCATTTTCGCTTGGGGAATTGTTAAAAACTGGATATTAGATGCCAATTTCCAGAACTCGTGTGAAAATTTGCAGAGTGCTTATCTGCATACATACTGTCATGTTGTAGGCTTAATTTCTAATAAAAATTTGCTATGTGGTATAACTCACTATTTTATAGCAAGTTTTCTAAACTCTTGAATTATAAAGGCTTAGCTTTAAAACTTCATGGCATGCTTGTGATTGAGTGGTCTGAATATAACTTCTTCAGCTCCATTTCTACTGAGAGAAGTAGAAGAAAATGTATCTTACATATTTGCACAGATTAAAAATTCTTTCCTCTTCTTTTCATAGGATAAGAAATGGGTTCTCAATCATGAAGATGTCACACTGGGGGAATTACTGGGCAAAGTAAGTAATAAAGTGAGCTAAATAACATTTGAATAAGTGTATAGTAATCATTAGGCTATTCCTGTATACCTTATCTTTTAAGTTACTGTAGTATGTGATTTTTATATCAATTCTTTACCTTAATACACAAGACAGCCTTGTGCTTTAAACAAATGTAAATCACACTTCCTAGTAATTGTTATAATGTGTGTGTGGAAAGTAACTACCGTACATAGTTTTCCTTTCTGGAAGGGTTTTAAGCTAACTAGATTTCTGTAAAGCATGATGTGGCTGTTTTACTTTATGTAGTCTTACAAAAATGTTGTTGCAAAATATAAATAAAACCATGTTAAGAAACAGGTAAATGTGTATTTAGGTATAAAGTTTCATACAATGAGATGACTAAATCATTATTTCTTAAAACAAATGATCATTTCTTATGTGTGATTGCTTTCATTCATTCACTGATGAATGTTAGGTAACTTCACAATCTTATTGAAATTAATTCTTATATAGTGTAGTTTATAAATTTGTACTTTACAAATTCTTCTTAGGAGCTCTAAGTCTTTAAAATTAGGTAAGGTCTTCACCTACATTTTTGGCACCTTTGCATCTGTGAAGACCATTGTGAGTGCCACTCTGGACACAATGTTCGAAAAGATTTCCCAAAGACTGAAAACTAAGATTAAATGAGAAGGAGACAAATGAAAGCAGTAGTTGCCTTCTTACTGTGATGCACACTAAAAGAATTGATGAGAAGTTCAAGAAATGGGGAATTAAATACTCTCAGAAAATTCCGTTACCCAGGATAGAATCTCTTTGGCAGAGTAAGATGACAAAAAGTATTATCTACTGAAAGAGAGAGCTGTGTCTACATAAAATGCAGGTACTGTGACAGCTTCACATTCTTAAAGAGAATAGTATCAAGGGAGAAAAATAAAGATGTTTCAGGTATAAAAAAAGCTTTCACTTGCTACAAAAATAAATATGAATTAGTGTAGATGCGTAAAGACAAAGCCACTTGAAAATTATTTTGCTAAAATGAATTTACATATGTATTGCTTGTTTTTGGCACAAAGCATTTTTAACATTCAATAAAGACAACTCAATACTTGGAAGTGATTATGAAAGGATGTGTTTTTTAAAAACTTTCTTGGAACTTAGTATAAATCTGTTATGCATCCATCTCTAAAAAGATGTAGTCAAACTGAAAAAGATAAGAGTGACAGGATTATCAGCATCCGTATGACAAAATGTTAAGTAAACTACAACCATTCACCATGGAAGTGAGAAATTTGAGATTCTATAAAATCTTGAGTGGTCTGGAAAAGATGAGGAAGAGATCATGAAAGTTTAGTGCGTAAGAGATACAAACTTTAGAAAAGACAAAGTTTTTCCTTTACCTCAGGAGTGAATGGCCAATTTATTTACTCAGTATTTTTTCTACAATACCTCACAAAATGAAAGTTGCATAACAGGAACATGAAAATCATATCTATATATAAAGTAAGAATTTGATGTTTTAAATAAAGAAGTAAGTATTTTCAAGTCTTAAGTAGTGCTTTGGGTGGATTCAGATTTCACTGTTAAATACCTCTGACCAGAAGGATAGAGGAAAAGTGTGTTGGGAGCGACGCAGCTTCTTGCCTTTGGGGACCTCATGCCATTTCAGATGTGAAGTAGTGTACTGGCCTTTGGCAATGCTGTTTTAGAAGGGCTCTCATACATCCTATGCCTTGCTTGCCAGCTACATCCTCCTTGTCCTAGGGTATAGAAAATAATACTGGAAATGTGTTTAGCCCTACGTTTCTTCCCTTGTTACTAGAACCACATAACTGTTTTCCATCTGAGTTTCTTTTTCCCTTTTCTGTCATCTTTGGCAATGCTGTATTCAGCTGCATGATGTATGAAATCTTCATCACTCAGGAAAGAAAGGAAAACAATTCCAGCAGTTTTGCTTTTTTTTTTTTTTTTAAAGTCACATGCAGCCCCAGGTACCAGGACACTGAAGTGTAATTCATGCGGAAATTAATCAGACATAGATTTAAAATTGAGCTGTGCTTATTCTTTGGGAAATGTAAAACTTAACTAGAAGTATGAGATTTTCAGTTTTCTTTTTGTTTCTTTCACTTGGTTTTTTTCATCCATTCTATTGTTTTGTTTTATACCCCGCAATTTCCTTCTTCCTTCAATTTGTGTTGTAACTAATTTTCCTTTAGTCTTTATTTAAGTAAAAAATACGTCTGATGGAGTTCATGGTCTTTATTATTACAGTTTTCTTCTATGAGAGCTAAAACAAAAACAACTTTCCCTGGGGGTATGTTGTTGATTACCTAAAAAGCCTGATTATAAGAGGCGCTTCTTTCTAAAGTCTTGTCCAAATAGTATGTAAGGAGTATGTAAGCCTTACAGACATGCCTATATAGAGCAGTGCTGACCTTAGGTTTTAAAGAAATTGTGGATCACCAAACTTTTTGAGGAAGACATGACAATACATTTTGCAGTGGGCTTAATTTATGGTCAAGATTAATATTCAGTGGTTTCATTCTTCTTATTTTGTGTTTTTTTCTTTCTTATATATGTGAGAATGTTTATGTTATTTTCATGTGTTTTGTCCTGGTGTTCTGGATCGTTTTTGGTCTTGTGCAGACTGCAAGTTAAAAACTATTCACAAAATACAATAGTGAGAAAACGAAGGTGTGCAGGAGTAAGAATAAGAAAAAAAAGTAAAGCTATCACTGTTAGTAGAGTTTAAAAGTTACTAAGATATTTTATGAAAAAAATTGTAATTACTTGATTAATGGGGTTTTTTCCCCTCTTTCAAGCAAAGTCAAAGTACAACTCATACACTGTGTCCGTATAATAGATGTACTATGTCATGTGAACTGCTGTTGCTAGGGGCAGATACTGGAAGAAAACCTGATTTGGCTCCATAAACACATTACAAAGTTCTATACTAGTTACATTATATGTCTGCATTATTTTTTTCTAGAGATTTTTGAAGATTTTGTTTACTTAGAATGATTTTTCCCCTCTTGATTTCAGGGTAATTTTGGTGAAGTGTATAAAGGAACATTAAAGGATAAAACTCCTGTTGCTGTGAAAACTTGCAAAGAAGATCTTCCTCAGGAACTGAAAATAAAATTTCTGTCAGAAGCCAGGTAAGTTCTCTAAATTTACTTGGAATATGTAGTTGTTATGGGTTTTTTTTCAAGTTTTATTACTAAATGGATTTACAAAATGTGACCTTCAAGAAAATTCAAAGCAGTAGTCAAACGTTTTTCTTCCTTTCTCTCCCTCAGTGCATTCCACAACTGTCACCCCGGTAGCTAAACATAGGCATTTTTATTGTGTAAATGCTGTAGCACCTGCATGTGCTGAACCCCTATCTTTGGCAAAGAAAGCTGTGCCTGTAAAGTACAATTTTGCTGTTGTAAATGCTTTCATTTAGAAAGTGCCATGAGGATTGGAATAAGACTGGAAGATGCTGTTAATCATCATCAGGGTAGAGGGGTGTCTTGAGATAATTTCATAATTTTTAAATTAGCTTTCTTCCTCTTGCTATGAAGCTTCAGATGTTTTAATTTTTACTCCCAGGCTAGTATGGTCAATATGGGAAAGTAAAAGATACTAACTACATTTATAAAATGAAGATCAGCCACCCTATCTATTGAATCATTTTAAAAAGCTTGTTACTTGGCAACTGCAGAGATGTTTCATTTGTTAAGCAGCTTGATGCTACTGGAAAAAATGGTCTGAAAGGAAAAAAAGGTGTTATTTTTCACTAAATATGTATGTACCAGATATGTCAGTATTTTACTCTTGATCCTAGTAAAAAAGGGAAAAAGAGTAGATACTTTGAGTCAGCAAATATCAGAAGGAACATTTATGTTACAAGATCTCTGTAGAATTCTTTCTTGCTCTTCATTTCACTTTTAAATCATAGCATGCTGTTTTAGGCTGCAAATGTTCTTATTAAAGCATTGTCTGAGAAGATGTACATGTTTTCATTTAATTCTCAGAATTAAAATTGCAGACTTCATAGTCTTCTAAAACTTATTGTATTCATTAATCTCCCAAAGTAAAATTGGAATGAGTGTGCTTTTGAAAGTGCAACAGGGAAGTATAGAGGCATGCTGTGCATATCTTTTTGATGTAGCTCTACGCCTGGTCCACCACAGAAATGCTGTTTAATTACAAGGGTTCTTGAGAAACTGCAAATCTGTCAGGTTGATTTTCAGTTATATAGATAAACATTATGTAGACAAATGTAAATTACAATAAGAATAATATAGTGCTCAGTTTTGATGTATTAGTGAATCAGTATGCCCTCCATTTCAAAAGTGATGATTGATCTATTACATTGATATTTTTCCTTTATGATAACAATAATGACATATTCCATTAAAATAACATTAAAGGTTTAAAATATTTTCCTGTAATACTTAATTAGTTTTTACGATAAAGTTTATTATTATAATTAACTTACTCTATATTTTGCAGAATACTCAAACAATATGATCATCCTAATATTGTAAAACTTATAGGAGTTTGCACACAACGACAACCTATTTATATCGTTATGGAGCTCATTCCAGGTAATTTTTTCCTCCTTTTTTTGCAACATATTTTCTTAGGTATTGTTTCTATAATGCAAAATATATTTTTTTCTATTTGTCTTTTTCTGCATTCTTGTGACTGACCTTAAAGTCACCTGCGTTGCAAAATCTTTGGAAATACTGGATTCTGTTAGATTGGAGAGGAGTGAGCTCCACAAATCTATTGTTTTACTGTAGCCTTTCAAGACAACAGAAGCTTCATTTTTCCTGTGACAAGATATTAAATGCTATTTCCTTTAACAATAGAATCAGGTAGTGAAAGTTAAGATATATTTAAAGAAACTTCATGTCTGAGTGTATCAGTTGGGTTTTTTTTCCTTTACCAAAATGTACTGTTTAGTTTATGGGTTCCTCTTGATTTATTTTTGGCATCTGGAGTTCATTTTATTTGTCAATGGCTGGAGAGAATTTTAGATTGTTGGGATGATAACAGATTTCAGGCAATTGTACCTCTTTGTTGATTTTCTCAGCAGCTGGAAAATGTGTTTGTTTGCTAGCCGCTAGTACTGCTTAATATGCAACACTGTATTTGCTTTATATATCACTGGATTTGTCTTCAAAACTATATAGTAAGAAGGCTTTAAGAACCATTTTATTCATAATACTTAAATTGTTTATAATTCTTGACTGCTGGCCTTAGTACAAGAGCACTCATGAAATATTTGACCTCATGGAGTTTTCTGCCTTTATTCAATTAGATTATATTAGATTATTATATTTGTGTGAGTGATTAACTTTATTAAAATGAAGACTAAAAGCAGTGTCCTCAGTTTTGAGGAGTACTTTGGTAATCAGCTTCTCCAAATATCTCTGAAGGTAAAAGTAAATCCTGATCTTTTAATACCTTTATCATTCTGGTTCAGGTTTTTCAGAACAAAGAGTTGAAACTTACTTAATGCAATTGAGGAGGAATTAGTGAGAACTTTTCTCTGATTCTTATGCCTATTTTGCAGTCCAAGTCTGTCCAAACATTCTTGAGTTGTCTGACTCTGAATTTGCAAGAAACTTCTTGCAAAGATCGTTGCCTTGTTTTGAAGGTCTGTTAATCCTCTGTCTGTCTTCTCTGCCTGTATACCCCCATAAAGACTGTACAACATCCAACCCATCACACTTTCCCATGGGCTCTTGGGAGCACACTGTGAGAGGGACCAAATCATCAGGAATCCATAGGGGTGCCAACCCTGAAGAAATTGACAGAGGAAAGACAAGTCACTTAGATCAGTTCAGAGAAGCAGTGATTCTGATGTTACTGTTTTTCTGTTTCGTAGTGACAGGTTTGGATGAGATTACAAAAAATGATAGTTTATAGTGCCCTGACTTGGTATTTAAGTCTGCCCCTTAAAGAACAGAATAGTGGTAAACTTGCCTTGCACTCGACACTTAACCTTTCTCAGTATCTTCATTGTCTATGTTTAAATTTGTTTATGCTTGAAGGTGTTTAGGCAGTTTAACTCTGACATTCTGTTCAATAACGAAAAATGTCATGTTTTAGCTTAGAATTGTATTCTGTGAGTGTATGGCTCAGAAGGCATGTAATTAATAAATGTCTAACAGTTTTTTCCCTGAGGAAAAAATTAGAAGCATCTCCATAAAACTAGGGATTTCTCCTGTTTTTTTCTGAGTTCTGTTTAATGTTTGCAATTTTTCTGCTGTTTTTATATCCCAAATAAATGTAGGCTGTACACTTGCTGTGTCTTTTGAGACTGCTGTGGTGTGGTTCCATAGCAGCTAATTCTGCTTTACATTCCAGATTCTGATTTCAATTCAGAGTCTTAATTTATTCAGGTATTAAAAATATTTTTTTGAAACTTACACTGTGTGTAGAGAGGTGCTACTTCGTTAGTGATTCTGTCATAAACTGTCTCTGCAGAGAAATCATTTTTCTTTGTTGCAAGTGTAAATGGGATTAAAAACTACACATGTGGATAAAGTCATCAGTGAAAACAAGAGAGAAAGGTTGGAGATGCATTTTAAGCATGTGTCCGTCCATTGAGATGCGCAAAAATAGTCCAGATGTTGCCAAAAAATAACAGAGAAATAAAGTAAGTTGACAAAGACAATGACAAAGACAACTATCCTTTGGAGGTAGACCCCTTTTCTTGGGCGGGGAGGAGAGATGGGTGTTAACATAAGTGATGTGTGTCCTAGAGTAAGAATCACATTGATAAAGAAATGTCAAGATGGGTGATGTAGCAAGGTTTAACTGAAATAACAAATAATGTAGCAGAGCATATTGTAGAATCATAGTCAAAGTGAAAGCATAGCTGAAAAATTATATATATTTTAGTGAAAAAGAACCATCATTTACTTACTATTCACTGGCTGTTAATCATGCTGATCTCACTATCTGTGTCCACCCAGTGTCAATCCACCATAGATTACTCCAGTACAGAAAGACAGACTTGGTTATCCTTTTCACAGTCCACGACCTGTCAAGAAATGAGAAAAATGTCTTAATATATTATATGTATTATATTAATATGTATTTTATAAATTCTCTTTCAAGGGATGACATGTAGAAAAATACATCCCATCTCCCTGGCATTGGCTGGGTTGTTGGGGACCAGGTCTCTTCTCTTCTTGGTCTTGTCCTACACGTCTTTCTGCAGATTCCTCTACAAGTGGGAAGGAACGTCCTGTAAGCAGAATGTGGCATCTTTTTCTAGGGTTGGATAACTCTAGGCCTCCTCATTTCTCAGTCAACATCTAATTAAAAAAAACAGTCTTTCAAATTGAGAAAGGAGAAACCCTGAAAAGACAGAACTTGGGCATTTTTTGTATTTGTAACCATATTTTTATGATGGTACCATTGATGATGACATGGACTTAGGATGCTTTTTCCGCTAGATTGAAAACACAGGAATAAGAGAAGCTGCAGGAGTCATATCAAATTAAGAGAGTCCAGTAAACTGGTAAAAGACAATTTGTTCTGAGGACTCAAAGTTCATAACAACTATTGAAACAAAGATGTATTTTACAGTTGTCTAATAAAATATACCCAATGAACATCACAAGATAGAACTCTTTCTTACGTTTTAAAGAATGTGTATTGGGAAACATGCATTTTGATATAGGAAAAAGCTATTAGAATATTTTTTAAAGGACTGAGTTCTCCTGTTTCTGGGTTAAGCAGTTGGTACTGTTGCCCAAGTAAAGGTGTGTAATAGTTTCTTGAATACAGAAAAGCATTTTCTGTCAACTGTTTTTTATTCTTTGTGACACACATACCACAAATAATAATCTCAGTAAGTTGTGGTGACTACCTACTAATAAGTAACCCTCAATCAGTATTCCAAAGACCATTATTTGGAAGGTATGTGCTTCTGTTTTGTGTAGTGCCCAGTTTAATTATTATGCAATTTAGATTTATTATTGCTTTCTAAAAGCTATTCTTCTAGTTGATTAAAAAATAAGCTAAAATATTAATTTTCATATATGAACAGAAACTAAAATGCATGTAGGATCAATTTCCTTCATGTGCCCGGGGAAAGTTACATATATACAAGAAATGTGAGGTTAAAACAGCGATCAAGGAATTTGCAATGAGAATTACTGAAAAATAATTTTTTTTAAATCCTAAACAAATTGTTGTCCCTTTCCTCCCCTTTCCTTCCTAAATTGGCCAAGATAGTAATTGAAATGGAGTCAACAAACCCTTACTATTTTTCTTATAAAAGTGTTATATATTTGTAAACTGATATCTATACACAAATCTGATTTGCAGGCTTAAGCTATGATAGCTACCTGCTGTGAAAAAGCAATTTAGTCAAGCAGATGGTTTTAAAATGTTGATTTGTGATTGTGTAACGGATAAATTTGCAATAACCTTTAAAGCACTCTTGCAAATAATAAATTTTATTCTTTTTACCCTAATGACATTGAAATATTAACTAAAATTAACTAAATATTAGCTGCCCAGATCCTTATAAGAGCTTTTCACCTACCATGTAACAAAAAATAACCTGAATTTTACAGTGCTGTAATTTTTTCCCCCGTTAAATTTTTAGTGGAATAAGAACGGAGAAAACAATTCTGAAATTATCTTTGTATTAAAGCATTTTGTTAATAGAGAACTTAACATAGAGTTTTCCTCTTCTTGTATGTTACTTACTTTCTCTATGAACTTCGATGTGAGTCTTTCCCATGGACTGCAGTTCTTGACAGACTGGTCCAGCGTGGATCCCTTCCACAAGATGCAGTCCTTCAGGGACTGATTGTCCCAGTGTGGGTCCCCCATGGGGCCAAAGGTCCTGTCAGGAGCCTGCTCCAATGCAGGCTTCCCACAGGGCCACAACCTCCTTTAGGCATCCAGCTACCTCACCGTGGGCTGCTCCACAGGCTGCAGGGGAATCTCTGCTCTGGCTTCTGGAGCACCTCCTCCTCCTCCTTCTCCTCTGACCTTCGTATCTGCTGGGCTGTTTGTCTCACATATTCTCACTCATCTCTTCTCTGGCTGTGTCATGGTGTGAGAAAACATTCCCTTCTGGAGCTGGAAGATGAGTAGCTCCAGGGGTGGTGTTTTTGGTGCTGAGCCAATTATAGCTTGGTATGCCCCTGCAGAAATGACATATTCACACACACACCGGAAAAGAAGCAGTTGGAATTAGGGAAGCCATGAGGTGAGAGAGATAGCAGAGGGGCCAGCAGGCCTCCTTGTGGGGGCCAGGCCCCTCTTCCCCCCCAGGCCGGGCTGTGGGGGGCCTGGCACGGTGTTAAAACTGGACAGGGTGCTGTGACCAAGGGTTGGGGGTTTTTCACCCCCTACTGCCAGCAAGAGGCACCAGCGTGGGGCTTGAGTGGCCAGCCGGTGGCTGGAGCCAGGCCCCTGGCAGGCAGGCACGGAGCTGGAGCCAAGCCAGCGCAGGCTGAGGGGCGGCCTGGAGTGGGTCAGGGTCAGCCATGACCCTGGAGAATTGGCGGCAACACGCAGCCACGGAGTAGCCCGGGACAGGTTAGGGCACACAGCCATGATGCTGAAG